CCAAAATAAAAGCTCTAACAAATTAATATTAACAACTGGAATAAATAACTAGAATGATCCTATTTAAATATGTGTCGAAAGTCATAGATAGTCATTGCTCCGGATTCCATGAAATATTTTAATAAACGGTAGAAAACTATAAATCAAAATTCGCAGTTTTTTGGTTAACTTTGCCAACTTTGAAAAAATTCAATAAGTCACTACTGCATTCCTGTCAACTTTTACGCATTTGGCGTAAAACTTTATTTCTGTATTTAAAGTGGTAATAAAATGTATGCTTTCTATATATTCCTTGCATTTATAAACTTAATTTATAATCTTTTTGATCCACCACTATTTTTAAAAAAAAATTAAGTATATAAATTAATATGTAAAATCTAAATTGAAGACCTATCGTATCCGATCAAGTTTCGTCCCGTAAATTTTGTAAATACTTATATATAATTTTGCGCATATATTATCATGCATTTTTCCTTTTCTCTGAGGCTACTGTGCACCTCTTTTCTCTCTTAAATTTGGTTGTTTAATCCCGCTACTTTATTTTAATTTTCTCTCAGTAAATGTTACTGAACCCGAACTTACACCTTTCAGTTGCTATTCGGTGATTTATTATTTATTCCCACTCAGATGAATTAGTTAGAGCCCCTAGCGGGGCTGATGCTAAGATAACCACCACATATGAGAGGTTGAAAACTGCCTAAACTTGTTCAAAATACTATTTTTCTACATGTTCAAAATTTTTGTGTTTATAATTGCAATCTATATTCCATTTGTCTACCACTGGCGAAAGTCATCCTTGAAAGGGTTAAAAGTTGACAGGTATGCAACTGTAACAAAGTGCACATTTGCCGACTTTCATTGTTTCCGAGAATGGATTTTCCAAGTGGTAATAAAATAAATATCGAAAAACAATCTCAGAGCAGCCTGCTTGCTCCGCTTTGTAAAAACATATCTTCCAATGGTATCGAAATTTAAATTATATTTAATTTAATATTTTTCCACCACTGCCTATCAAAAGTTCAAAGTATCATATGAAATGCAACTTTATTGCACGGGGACGCTTTTAACCCGTTTTGTCCCGAATTTATGTATTGAAATGATACAAAAAGTGGTTTTATGGAAAAAGTGGTAAAATATATTATCGAAATTAATTGATTTTTCTACAGTTAGAGCATTCAAGAAGTCTTTGATAGATCATAAAGTACTTGCTCCTTATAATTCTATATCTAATCAGAAATAACTAAATCATTGTGGTACCTGAGAATCTTTTAATTCACCCGGATAAATGAAAATACTGGAAAAAGTTTCCCACCACAATGAATGTCTTTGAAAAAAGAAACTGTCCTAAATATATGACGCTGGGCTTTAACCGGTTAAAGAGTGACCGTAAATATACTTCTACTACAAGTTTTGCCATTTCATTTACTACCACTTTATTAATATTTTTACAGTCAACGGGGTAAACGGAACGGGCCAGAAATCTTAATCAAAAATACATTTACATACCTGCCAACTTTCAATCTTTCCGAGAATGGATTTTCAGAGTGGTTGTAAAACAATAAACGAAAAACAATCTGACTCAAAAATATATTTATATTTTGATCCCGTTGAAATTCGCCAGTGCAAGGATTATTATTCATATACTTATTGTAATTATTTATATGAAGTGGTGATCAAACTCATTTATAATTATCATTATAATTCAATTGGAATAAGCTGAGTATTGCTACCACTTTAAATATAAAAATAAAATCTTCCGGAAAATTTGACAGGTATGCATTTACATTTAGACGAGATTAAAATGCAGAGATGCCAACTGCTCCGGATACGCCAAAATAATAAAAAAACGGTAAGTAGCTACAAAGTAAATGTTGCATGTATTTGACTATTTTTGCTTTCTTTTCAAAGGTATAGCAATACTTAAGTATTATGTAGTGGTGAATCATATAAGCCTACGAATTATTTAGAAATAGTGGTGGATAAAAATCTACTAAATTGAATTTATTAAACCAAGAATCACAATTGATAAACTACCACTTTAAAATATATATTTACTGTCCGGATCAGACTGGCATCTCTGAAAATGTGCAGGCAACCTAGAATTGATCATGCTTTTATATCTTAGCTGCAATTATTTATATGCAGTGATGGTTAAACTCATTTATAATTATTATATTATGGAATAAGATTTGCTACCACTTTAAATATGAAAACAAAGTTTTTATAATATAAAGATAAACTGGAAATCGTAGACTGAGAGACCACCTCTAGGATATATTTATCCGCTGTCCGGAGCAAGTTCGCAGCTCTGGATAGATTAAAAATAAATAAAGCCTTTATTTTTCTCTTACATATGTTAAAGATTTTATACCTGCCAACTCTTCCGGATTTTCCCAAAGATTTTATTTTCACATTTAAAGTGGTAGTAAATATATACTATTTTTTCTTTTATAAACTTAATTTTTTAAATGATTTTGATCACCACTATTCTTACAAAAATGAAGCACATATATTAATATGCGTTACTATCATGGTTGTCAACTTAAGTTTTCTCAAATACAACGTATTTTTTTTGCTTAAAATTGAAGTTTTAATTTCATTTTAATACCACTGGGAAAAATGGAAGGGATTAAAAGTTGGCAGGTATGAGGTTCCCAAATGGTGTTCCGCTAGAAGTTAAAGGGAATCTACGAATTAGGAGTTCTTTTTTTAACCAGTAATAGTTTTGAAATTTTTAATTACTTTTGAATCTAATCAATAATCCATTATCTATTTGATATTTCGGTTGCCTTTATGAAATTAATAAAAGTAAAATTCCAATGAAAGCAAAAAAACGATTTTTTTTTCAGAAATAAATAATTTTAGAAAAACAATAGATTGATTTAATTTAGTTAAAGGACAAGACTTTATAACAAAAATTGCCTTAGTATTTCTTATCAGGCTTTCCAAATAAAATATCGAAATTCATAATAAATATAGAACCTTAACAACCATTTTCAACATTTACAGCATTTCTTTTTGGTTTTCCTTTTAAAAAATCCATAATTTTTACTTAATTTATTCTTTTTCAACCTATGTATATACACGGAAAACAAATTCATTACTAGAATAGATAAAGCTCCAAGACAACAAAGTTAACAGTGAGATATAAAATATAAATTAAGCTTACTAAAAATAAGGATAAGACAATTAAAAATGAAATGATGGGGGAAAAAAGTCGATCAACTTATTTTTTTTTTCTATTTTGCATTTTTATAACCGTCATTAAACAACCGATCCAATTTTATGGGTTTACAACAGCTAATGTTCAACTGCGTAGCTTTGTAATTTTGATGCCAATCAAGGGAACTCGTGGAACAATTATTAGGAGAAATTTGCCTTCGTGGAGGACTTTTTGGTGGAACTAACAAGCATTTGCGTTATATGAAGAGGAAAACCATAAAATCTTTTACGGTTAGCCTGACGAAAAGAGGACAGATGCTCTGCTAGCCAACCCCAAACCTAGCTGCGTATGTACCGTTAAAAAAAGAAAATTATGTCACAATGAAATTAATTTCGCTGTCCTTTTCCTTGCTGGATTTCCAGAGAATACAAAAGGTAAACTAAATTTTTATTCTGAACCTATTCAAATCGAGACAAATTTAAACCGCTCAATCCCTAGCAGTGCTTTTACTTTTAAATGAAGTTTAAACTGAAATGGCAAATAGAATTTTTTAAGAGGAAACTATATACTTATTTCCAGTAAAACATGATTTCTCGCCATCTGAGACGCGATGTTATTCTTTAAAAAAAAAGGTTCCGTAAAGATTTAAGTAGAATAAAATTGCTTTCTAAACTTTACCTGGTTCTTCAGATTTGTGACATGTTTTAGCATGAAATCTTTTTTCAGACTAGTCATAAAAATTTAAAATCTAGCAGAAAAAGATCGAAGACGCAAATCGTTTTAACTGAAATATTATTAACAATAAAAATAAATACATGTGTGTTACAACTGAGCAACTGAATTCCTAAAACTGAAACAATTAAGATCAGTAAAATTTACGATTATTTATAAAATATTTGTCGCCACCTTTCAAAATTTTTTAAGATTATAGCCACCCTTTTTTAGCAATATTGGCAATTTTTTTAGCAAATTTACTATTTTTTGTACCTCGAAATTTTACTTTGATTTAACTTTTATTTTAAAAAAAATTACGTGTGAGAAATTTGTCTTGCATTCTCTCCTAACCCATTTCCCGTTTAGTATTGCGGTTGCGCATATATAAAAAGTAAAAAGTACATAAAAAGTACTTTTTACATATAAATATATGTAAAAAGTACTTTTTTGAAAAATTGGTAAAGAATTAGCGTCTAAGATAAGTAGATAATAACTAATGTTACTACTGTCACATAGGTTTTTTTTAAAAATAACAAATCTTTGGCGAGCTTTTTTATACTGGAAAACGCTCAGATTATGTATCTAAGAAAATGGACACAGCTCAAAATGCTTGTTAAGGGCGCCAATCGAAACGGAATAATAAGAAAATAATGTGTGTATAAGAAAATAGACATAGCTCGAAATGCATGTTTAAGAATATGAGTGTTTCTCGAAATGTGTGTTTTGAAAAATGGACATATTTTAAAATGCGTATTAAGGAAAATAAATTCAGCTCAAAATGCGTGTTTAAGAAAATGGACATATTTCAAAATGCGTATTAAAGAAAATAAGCCCAGCTCAAAATGCGTGTTTAAGAAAATGGACATATTTTAAAATGCGTATTAAGAAAAATAAACACAGCTCGAAATGCGTATTTAGGAAAATGGACATATTTTAAAATTCGTATTAAAAAAAATAAACACAGCTGAAAATGCATGTTTAAGAAAATGGATATAGTTAAAAATTATTAATTCTGAAAATACGCTATTAAAATTCATTAATTATGAAGTTTCTATTTGATGCCTTAAGTATTTTGTATAAACCACTTCTAATTAAAAGGAGTAATTATCTTATCAATACTTACCCGTATGAAGTCAAAAACTTTAGTGAGCATGACTATAACATATGATTCTTGTTCCCAGATCATTCTCCAGAAATCGGAAACAGTGAATTCATTGGGTCCTAATCGAAAATAAATCCAAATGTTAGTGTCTTTTGAATCAATATTTGCATAAATAACAAAATATTTTAACAGAGTTTATTTTATTTCGTATGAGGAACTTCTGAAATTTTTTATAAGTTAATTTTATCAAAAGTTGTTGAATAATATTTCTATAGATAAGATTCTTTTTATTCATGATTTAGAAGGCTTGATTAAATATCAGCATATGTGTTATTTTGATATCTTGTATAATCAGTATTTTTTAGGCTCAAATTATTTAGTTTAATTCTAAATAAATTTAAACCAAGTTATTGAACTTGTAAATAAATGTTAGAGCATACGTCTTTGCTGCACTTCGACTGAAGGAATAAAACTCATACTAGATGAACAGATAAAAAGAATAGCAATAATTTACAGAATTTAGAAAAAACTTAAATAGGCCAAGGCCCATCCCCCTAAAAATGCTGAAGCAATCATTTTGTTACGAGTTCAAATTCAAAAATAAAATTTTTTGAAACATTGGGGAATAAATACTTCGTAATTTCTATTGATTGTCAATTTGACTTTTTTCTGTATAAATAGGTGTAGGCCATACAGATCATAAAAGTAAATAAGGCTGACTGAAAATTGAATAGAAATAGAAAACTGCTCTAATATCTCATTAAAAGTCATCAAATAATCCTAGAACACACACAATGACAATTTTAAAGAAATAAATCAGGAAGCCACCAAATTGATGGAATTGGTAGTCTTAAGTGTAAAAATTCTTAGTTAGCGATAGCAAAATTACAACCGAATTTCAATTGTAAACATGAATTAATTGAACTATTATTTATAACGAATTTAGAAATACGACATATATATATATATATATATAATTGTGTGGNCGCCTTTATATTTTCAAATGACTTAAAATCTTAAATTAGTGAAATAAATGGGGGGGGGGTATATTACAGTGACAGAATATACAGAGTAAATATTAATTGTATACAATCATTACGAAGTAGAAATGGTATTTTTAAATAATAGTAAATGCTTTTATTAATGATGCTTGATACTTGTTTGATCTCAGTATTTGGCTCGAAGGGCCACTAACAGATTCGTCGCAATCTGTAAGACATAAGCTTAATAGACATAGATGAAATAATAAAACATATAATAAAAGTAGAGGGGTTGGAGCAAGCTCCATTTAAAGGAATTAAGATGTTGAGCACAATGAAATAGTACTGATAGTCAAATATAAACATGAGAATTGAATACAATTAAATTGAAGTGAGCAGAAAATTAAATTATTTACAGAATATGTACCTTATTTACATATTATGTACAAGATTCGAATTGAGTTTGTGTAATAAGTGTTGCTCTGCTAGCACAGCGACCCGGCCGTCCTGGTAATTACCGCTCGTGCCGGATTGCTCACTGTGAAAATTAACAGGAGTACAGCTCACCCAGTTCGAACCCTTTCGGCTCGCTGCATCCTGGTGTTATAATTTGTGTATTTTTGAATTGTGCAATAATGATGGTGAAGAATTATTGTTTAAATAAAATAATTAATTAAATAAAAAAAACTGGTAGCAAATTTTCAATAAAATTCTTGCATACTGTTTATCCTTTCAACACCGACAATTTTTTTCAAACATATTTTTCATTATTTGTATTTATTTACGTCAAAATGAGTGAAATATATCATGATTAGCATTTTAATAATTTTTGGTTATGAAATAACGGTGTCCTTTTCTGCGTTAAAGGTAAACTTTTCCAAACAGAACTCCCTTCCAAACAAAAATTTTTTTCAAATTTGCACTTATTTTATAGTTGTTTAGATCAAATAGAAACAGTTATTTATTATTGAAATTTCTTAGTTTTACGAAATCATTCATTGATAAAATTTTGAATATGAATATAAAAAAAAATATGAAAACTATTATTATTTTTTTTAAATGTTAGCACAAACATAATTCTGATAATCTAACAGATTTTAGTAACTATTAGACTGTTTTTTATGATTAAAAATACCAAAATATATTTTTGCTTGTAATTAGAACATCAGAAAAAATCTTATATATATATAATTCTCTTACGTGGCTCCCAAATTTTGGCTGCATTTCTTTCCGCCGGTGGCAACGTTTGCTTTGTTTTGTTTACGTTACTATTTCTCTTACACGACGAATCGACCAATGATTGCCGCTAAAAATGTCACATGCCAAGTCTAGCTGAGGTGGCTCAACATATAGCGCTTTTAAAAAAGGAAACTGAAATAACCAGAGAGCATCAGCTGCGGCAATCTCATACTATTAAGCTAGGCAGAAGTGAGTAGTCTTTGTCGATAGATCTCTATTTTAGTATTTTGTCGAAAGCGCTTTTTTTCACGAATTTATATATTACGAATTTATTTGACGATTTTTGATTTATATCACGAATTATACTATAGCACATTTCTAATAGGTTTAACGAATTACATGTCATTTATTTGAATTCAAATTTATTTTAATGACTTAGTATTTACTAAAAAGATGTAATTTTTTTTTAAAAAAAAAGTTGTTATATGGATTTGAATGATTGTTTTGAATTCTTAGAATTTTGTGCATTTGCAATGTAACTGAGTTAGTAGCGAGCAAAGCGAGCTTGGTTTGCGAAGCAAACCATATAAGATTGCGTAGCAATTATCGGGGGTTGGCGAGCGTTAGCGAGCAGGGGGCGCATCCCACTAGTACATATATAAAAGAGACACCAGCGTCCCATTCGTCAAAGGGTTAAATCTAACTTAACATGAGAATATTTTCTATTTCTTTCATAAGCGGCTCTGGCCCACTCTATAACAAAAAATATTCAGTAAATAAAGAAAAAGTTAAGCTCAGGGGATAAGTATTGCGTTTTTTCGAAACAGAGAAAGAAAAGTAAAAGCACGATCATTTTTTTTATCCAAAAATAAATAAGTCAAGTCAGTATTAACATAAATTTAAACATTGAAACGGCGGCAGAAATTTGTGCGCATGTATGAAAGCAAAATTCTTTCTGGTTTCCAATTACTTTGTTTAAAATTGGTTGAAGGCCAAAAACTAGTTTCAGATGTATCGTAAATAATACCCTTGCGATTTGAAACAATTTATATTTTGTCTGGAAGTATTTACATAACAAAAGGAAACTACTAGCGTTTGATAGTAGAAGCATAAACTAGGATGAATTTAACAGAATAAATATAGAGAATTGTTTTATTTCCAAAATCTAGGTCTGGATAAATAAATTACGCGTCTTTTTCTGATCAAAATAAATGCATGTTTCACGGTTATGAAATATTCACAAATATAAATAATTTTCAACTTACAAAATAAAATTTAAAGATATTCAAAGAATTCAAAATAAATTAAATGCATTTCGGTTGATAAAAGTTGGGTATTTTCAAAATTGAGATTTCTTTTTGCTGTGAAAAGTAGTCTCAAATTAATAATAACGAGCTAATTGATAAATAATGCATGTAACAATAAAAAAAAATTAAAAGAATTAACTGAGAGATTAAAATTAGAATTATGGTGTACAGTGCGCAAAATAAAAAACAGACCACCCTGAATAAATTTTGATCTAATGATCGAATTATGCTAATATATGCTAATTAATTAGTTCAGACGATATTTTTAGTTAGGAAATCAGACACAAAAACGTTCTTTTTCTGAATAAATATACCTTTTTTTCCGTCAGATTTCGAATTATGACTCTCAAAATATAGGGGGCGGCCGGATTTTGGGAAATACAGTCCCTATAGTTTTGTCAGAAAAGCGGTCCTAAGTTTTTTCTTTAATTTTACTTTTTGCATATTTCGCCAAATCTCGATTTTTTTTAAGCGAATTTAAAATGGTTTGCATACAATTCTATAGTTCGTTTATCGTTAAGATAATTCCATGCAAAATATACCATTTAGTATATATTTATTATTTTATTTAATAATAGTCGGAAGACTTTTCAATTGTAAGCTATAAATTTTTACATCATTTTAAAGAATTCAATTTTAGATTTTAAAATACAAAATTTACGCAACATCGGTCGAATAGTTTCTAAGAAACCGAATTTTTAATATATGGCTTTTTGAACATTGTAACATATTTTTCACATTATTTTTTTTTCTCACATGAAGTAGCAGAGATGGCAACTTGCTCCGCACAGCAAATATATATTTTAAAGTGGTAGTTTAGCAATTGTGATTCTTGGTTTAATAAATTCAATTTAGTAGATTTTTATCCACCACTATTTCTAAATAATTCGTAGGCTTATATAATTCACCACTTTGTAGTACATATGTCATGCTATATCTTTTAAAAAGCAAGCAAAAGTAGTCAAATATTTAAAAATTTATTTTGTAGTTATTTACCGTTTTTGTTTTTAATTATTTTGGCGTGTCCGGAGCAGTTGGCATCTCTGAAGTAGTATCTAATTCTTGCTATACCCTTTGTTTTTTTCAAGCAGTGTCTGGTTAAAATACTTTTTGGATCGATTTATAAAAAGTAATTAATTTAGATTATTATCTAAAATTAATTTGACTTTTAAGACCATATCTTTGGTGGGTGAAATTAACAAAATTTTTAGGTGGGAGGTACTTACAAAACGATAGTGCTAGTTAGATTTTATTGGCACAACATAAATTTGCAGCTTGTGTGCTCAATTAAGGCTTATAAACTTTTGTCAAGTAGGAGAACAGATAGCACAATACAAGAATACATCCAAGGTTACGGCGGGATTCGAACCCGCCACCTCCACGCTTAACAGAGTGTTTGGCGGGCGATACCGCTCGGCTAGGGAGGCCTCTAGTTAGATTTTAATTAAATGCTAATACTAATATTCAATAATAGTGGTAGTANACCAGAGATACCAACTTGCTCCGGACAGCAAATATACATTTTAAAGTGGTAGTTTATCAATTGTGATTCTTGGTTTTATAAATTCAATTTAGTAGATTTTTATCCACCACTATTTCTAAATAATTCGTAGGCTTATATAATTCACCACTTTGTAGTACATATGTCATGCATATCTTTTAAAAAGCAAGCAAAAGTAGTCAAATATTTGCAAAATTTACTTTGTAGTTATTTACCGTTTTTGTTTTTAATTATTTTGGCCTGTCCGGAGCAGTTGGCTTCTTTGAAGTAGTATCTAATTCTTGCTATAACATTTGTTTTTTCAAGCAGTGTCTGGTTAAAATATTTTTTGGATCGATTTATAAAAAGTAATTAATTTAGATTATTATCTAAAATTAATTTGACTTTTAAGACCATATCTTTGGTGGGTAAAATTAACAAAATGTTTAGGTGGGAGGTACTTACAAAACGATAGTGCTAGTTAGATTTTATTGGCACTACATAAATTTGCAGCTTGTGTGCTCAATTAAGGCTTATTAACCTTTTTCAAGTAGAAGAACATATAGCACAATACAAGAATACATCCAGGGTTACGGCGGGATTCGAACCCGCCACCTCCACGCTTAACAGAGTGTTTTGCGGGCGATACCGCTCGGCTAGGGAGGCCTCTAGTTAGATTTTAATTAAATGCTAATACTAATATTCAATAATAGTGGTAGTATACTAATTTGAAACTAACTTTAAAATGAGTAAAAATTAGTTTCTCTAAGCTGCTTTTTCAATATTAAAAATTTTCAAGTTGCTCCCTTACAAACACAAAATTAGATTTGAAATTTTATAATGCATTCTAGTTTGCATTGATTATCTTAAATCTTTTACACAGATTTTTAAACTGTGGGTTTTGACCCTATTTAAGGTCACGGGACCTGCAACAAATGTCATCAAAAATTTTAGAAATTTTTGATATTTCTTTAACTTATTACAATAGTATATATAATATATATATCATATGAAAAAAATACTTACCCTGAGCAGCTATAAAAGCGTTTGGTTTCAAAATACTCTAAAAAGAAAAATAAACATTTTGAATAAAGGAACGAAAATTACATAATACAGAAATAGTTACATTTAACAATATCATTCATGCCTTAAAAATATTTCTTAAATAAAAATATTTAGGAAACATTAATCAAATTATCAGTGCCTTCTAGAAATACTGAAAAATAATTATTCAATATATTTAATTACTGATAATACTAATGGATTTCGATATGATTTTAGTTCAGGTTTGCTGGAATTTTTATTAAATTGGAAATTGGAAAATTTAGCTGGAATTGAGTATTGGTAGTTTTACTATTTTTGCTGTTTTATGAAATTTAATGAATGAAAATAAATTTCATTCATTAAATCTATCTAAACAAAATCTATCATGGTTTTCATAAGTAGAAATAATCTTTTACTAATTCGATAGTGTTCTTTGTTCACAAAAGAAGGTAGAAAATCTCTTGTATTCATATTTCCGACGATACTAATATGTATACGAAGTTATTAATTATTAAGAATTATTAATTTAAAATTTGATATAAAGGTTTCTCAAACGTGAGTAATTTAAATACAAAATCCATACTTTGTAGATTGGGAAGGCAACTTACTAATATAAGTTAGATTCTAAATTTAGTGTAATGTCAAATTCTTGATTTCACATTTACTCATTCTACTTTGACATTGCATAATCGCAGCTGTTTCTTGTGATGTAATACGCATTTTGATGTGACAATAAAAGTAAAGGTGAATTATTGAATAATATATAGTGTTGCTAACCAGTTTAGTTTTTATAAACATTGCAAAATATTATTTTGGATCACTTAAAAGTACATACCTGCCAACTTTTACGCATTAGGCGTAAAATTTTATTTTCATATTTAAAGTTGGTTATAAATATATACTATTTTTTCTTTTATAAACTTAATTTTTAAATGATTTCGATCACCACTATTTTTAAAAAAATTAAGCATATATATAAATATGTGTTACTATCATAGTTGTCACTTGTAATTTACAAGTTGTAAATAATGTTTATTTTCTATTCAATTTTTTCAGACTTGTAGTTATCTGTACATAAATATTTTTAATCTCATTTTTACTGTTATTCAACTGTTCATATCCTTAATTTTAAATGTAATTTTCATGATTTGAGCTGCCCACGCAGATAATTCAAGCCGCCAACTGCCTTGAACTCCTCCTTTTATCTTTCTTCAAAGCCATTAATACCAATCGCTCTAGAGCACAACTTCAGATGAAAAGGTCAGGTGCCCGCTAACGCGGGCAGGCACCTTAACAAACCCAGATCGTCATAGTTGTCAGACTAAGCTTTTTCAAATACAACGCATTTTTATGCTTAAAATTGAAATTGAAATTCCATTCTAATACCACTGGGAAAAATTATAACGGAAGGGATTAAAAGTTGGCAGGTATGAAAGTATGTATGACCTCTCGAGATCTGATAAGGGGTAAGCCATACCTGCCAACTCTTCCGGATTTTCCGGAAGATTTTGTTTTCATATTTAAAAAGGTAGTAAATATATACTATTTTTTCTTTTATAAACTTAATTTTTAAAGGATTTTGATCACCACTATTCTTACAAAAATTAAGCACATATATTAATATGCGTTACTATCATGGTTGTCTCGAGAACAAGTCTTAGTGAGCATCACTACTCCACCATGCCGACTACCCAGCCCAGTCACTATCTTTTACATCTACTTCAGACTTTAATATTACCTAAACTCCAATGCCATTAGTCTCAGTCGCCCTAGGGCATAACACAGATCAGAGGTCTAGTGCCCGCTTGCGCGGGCAGGTACCTTACCAAATTACATGATCTAGCTAGCATAGTTGTCAACTTAAGTTTGCTCATATACAACGTATTTGTTTGCTTAAAATTGAAGTTTTAATTCCATTTTAATACCCCTAGGAAAAATGATAATGGAAGGGATTAAAAGTTGGCAGGTATGGGGTAAGCTAATCCCTATAACTTAAGTGTAGAGAGCTACCCGGCACGAGTGGTAATTACCAGAACTGCGGGGTCTCTACTTTAACAGAGCCACACTTACTTACACACATCCTCACATTCCTTTAACTGGCCCCCCTTTTGTATGTATTTTCAAACTCTAAATACTTTAAATATTCATTAGTGTTTATTTTCCCATTGTACTTTACTTTTACCTTTTTTCATATACATTTTTATTACTTGTAACTTTGTTATTGCCTAATAATGGCAAAGTGCCATTTTTCTTCTCTCAAGAACTCCATTTTGCTCCCCAAACTTTAATTTTGTCATGCATGCTTCTTAGTTTAATTTCAGGATGAATGGGAAAAGGGTCGTTAGGCCTCAGACGCCCAGTTCCACTACAACGAACGGACGAAAAGTATGCATGCTGTTGATATGTTTAAGTTAAACAAAAATGTCTTGTTCGTCAAAAATAAGATTTAAGTACAAATTAGTTTAGCAACCAAGTTTTAGCTTTTAGAAAAAAAGTTAACGTGAGCTCTGTTTGTCTGAGATTAACTCAGCAGAAAGGACGAATTTTCAAACCCTTTTCTTTTCTAACTCGTTTAAAAGAGAAATAAATTATCCATGATTACCACAACTTTTATAAATTAGTGTGAGAAAATTTCATACGGCTGTAATTTTTTTAACCGTTTACTTGCCGGGCTCTTATTTTACACTAATGAGAAAAGTGGTAGCAGGTCTGAATATAAATTGAAAAAAAATTTCTTCATTTAACTATTAATTTTGTTAAAAACTGCAACAAATGTTCATAATACATATAATTTTATATAATTAATAGATTTTAACTCATAGGAATATATATAGCCGACCGGCCTGTGTAGGGATTAGGGAACTGCCCTTGCATCAGAAAGATTCTGAGTTCGAATCCCGGGCAAGGCATGGATATTCCTTCCTTCTCTGTACTATCTGTCCTTACTGAGGGAGCAACGTTGGCCCACCTAATATGGTGCCCTTGAAAGAGTGGCCAACAAATCTGCCCTTCAGATACCTGCATGACCTAGGTCATTCTCCAGGTGGGCATTGGAAAAAAAAAACTCATAGGAATATTTAAGTTTTTCTGTGCGAAAAATGAAAAATTAAAGTTACCAGTCTTTGAAATATTGAAAAAGTGGCACGTTCCAAAAATTTGTATTTAACACGTTGAATGCCATGGGGGTCACTGGTGGCCAGCGATGCCAAGATTATTAGAAACACATAATTCGAGTAAATTTTTTATTTTTTTAAAATTATTATAGTTATAAAAATGGTTTGAAGAAATTAATGCAATATAGAATGCACAAAAATAGTTTTATTTATGTACAAAGAGATGTCAACTTGCTCTGGACAGCGAATAAATATTTTCAAGTGGTAGTTTATTAATTGTGATTCTTGGTTTAATAAATTCAATTTAGTAGATTTTTATCCAACACTATTTCTAAACAATTCGTAGGCTTATATAATTCACCACTTTTTTTCTGGTAAGTCATGTTATACCTTTTCAAAAACTAGCAAAATCTGACTAATATAGTTAGCAAATATAGTTTGTAGTTATGTAAAATTCGCGTGGCATTCAACGTGTTAAACGATAAAATGAAGTCCAAAGTTAAGAAAAATTATTTATCAGTTTAGTTTTATCAGGTAAGGAACAGTCTTACATAAATGATATAATTGCATATAAATCATTGTAAAGAAGTGCATAATACTTTTCTGCCCAAAAACAAGCTACAAACGAAATCGTTCTACAAAAAGTTTTGGTATCTTTTTGGGTTTGTAAAAGCTCAAGCTAAGGAGCCCAGAAGAACGAAATGCCATCCTCAATCGACTTTCGTTTTAAATATTACAACTGCATAAAATTTTATTTTAGAACATAATTAATTCATCGATTTATTAAAAACTATACCTCTTTTTATAAATCATAAGTGAAACATAATTCTTAAACCGCACAATTCGCTATGACGCAAACACTTTCATCATCTCTTTACAAATTGATAGGGAAGAGCAAAAAAAAAAAAAAAATATCTATTTCGTTTATAAGAATTTGATGAATTGAGCCATCTCCCAACAATGTCAATCCTTTTGCTCCGAAGTTTTATTATTGAATTTTCCGTACCATCCATTAAATTTCTTTCAACTTCTATTAGCCTAAGTGGGGGAAAAAAGGTTGTCGACTGCTGCACAGCAGTCCCGAAACGTCGCGATCAATGATTGGGGAACATTCCATTAAGAAAATACGTGCTTCGAAATCAGAGACATGTCCGAGGATTACATTCGATGGATAGTATTATCACTAATTTCGGACAAGAGGGATTTATGTCAGGTGTAATATGTTGTTAGTTATGCTGTCGGTGTTAAAGAAGCAACTAGAATTCAGAAAGCGTCCACCGGTCCTGAGGGATGTTAGTAATCTTTCTACGTTAATTTGATTTCAGCTGCCTTGATTTGACATCCATTTTGTTAAGATGTAATAATACTTTCTTACTATCTTTAATCACTCTGGGCGAGTTAATATTTTCCACGGTGTATAAAACTTTGTATTACATAATATATTTTTATTTGGTAATGGCATTGCGTTGTCAAATATTTGGAGGAATACATTTTATCAAGATGTAATAATTCTTTCTTAAAATATTCAATCAATAAGAAGAATTAATATTTTCCACGGTGTATTAAACTTCGCGTTACTCAATCTATCTTATTATATAAAACGCTAATACGTACGTATGTATGAATCAATAAAACCGATGATATTTCTTTTCTCGCGCTGGCAACAGTTTTCATTTTTAACTGATTGTGACATAAAAGACCAACTAAATAGTGAGCA